TATATATATGGAAATGAGAAGATCAGCTTCACACTCAAAAACCGTGACGAGGTAATTCTAGTAATTCTAAAGTTAACTAGAATAAGATCTTGCCTGTACAGGTAGTGATCCTTGTTGCCAAATATGCTGTACTTGGAGACCCAGAGACTCAGAGCAGGTCCAAACACCACCAGCACAGAGAGAAGGAAGTGAAAATGCTGTCGAAATAAGAAATGAGCCAGTAGTCCAGCTGTGAGATCAGTAAACTGCTCCAGAGCCCATTGCAGAAGCTTGTTGACAGAGTTATGGATCTTATAAAGTATCTCCTTTAGTCCACAAAGATCCATCTTGGTTTGCTGAGGGCAGAACTTCCACTGCATGCTCAACAGATCGACTAACAGCACAAACTGAGACAAGGACAGAAATGAGATTGTTCTACCATCTGTCCGCAGGGTTATTAGCTTCCCTTTTGTTTTCACAGTTGAGTTCAACCTGCTGGTTTATATCACACTTCTCATCATGTACCCTCTCACTCACACACACTCACGGTCCTGACAACATTTTGCTCCTTAACAGCTCCAAACATTCCCATCTTATCAGTTTGCTCTGTGTGTGTGTGTAATATAAAGCAGTGCAGCAACATTCCCTTTGTGGTTTCAACTGTATTTAGCATCTGTATCTGTAGTATGGATTAAAATAAACTTTGGCTTTGGAAAAAAGGTCAAACAAAACACACACACACAAAACAACAGATATAAAACTTACAATTTAATCTAGTGCATGTATTGTGTTTCTTCTGAACACTTTTGTTATTGTAAGGTTGACTCATTTGACTCTATTCGCTATAAACTATAAACTAATATAAACAGATAACTGGTAACTATATGATTATTGTAATAAATGTGTTCATTCAAGGTGTTTCCCCACTATTTATTGTTATTTACAGTACTGTTCAAAAGTTTGGCAGTAAATTTTTTTTATTGTTTTTTGAAAAATGTCTCTTATGCTCACCAAGGCTGCATTTCTTTGATTAAATAATACAGTAAAAACAGTAATATTATGAACTATATACAGTATATATATATATATATATATATATATATATATATAAACTAAATCGGCTGTTTTCTATTTTAATATATTTGAAATGGTAAAGCTGAATACATGATCCTTCAGACATGATTCTAATATGCTAATATGGAGAAACATTTCTTATCATAATAAGAAAAAAAATCTTTATAACATTATAAATGTCTTTACTGTCATTTTTGATCAATTTAATGTAATTTTAATTGCTGAATAGAAGTATTAATTTCCTTAAAAAAATATCTTACTGAGCCCACAATTTTGAATAGTAATGCATATGTTGACCACATTTTTTTTTCTTCACAGGTTAGAAAAGACCATGTTCTCCTCTTTAGCTTTACCTACTATCATTACAATATAGCAAATATACAGTACACACTTGTCCAGACTATATGAGACACTGTCACTGTCAATGGGAGTAACGAAATTCTGACCTTGTCTTAAATAGTTTGAAAAATTATTTTGAATGCATGTAGCACATACAAATTGTCTTACAATGCAAAATAACTGTATTGCTTTACAGCTGGCTGAAATATTTGATACGATTTATAGTCCAAACAAAGTTGTGCGCATGAGTTTAATTATTCTTGTAAAACAATTTTGTGAGTGTTCCAATGAATTTGAAATGCACTTAAATCATACACAAATCAAACCTTTATGTCAACAGAAACATATTTGCACACATTCTCACACACATACGCATGAAGAATCTCACTCCCGTACCCATAAACCCACAACTATGTCTCCACACACGCATTTTTAACACACATTCCGTTTTGACAGAAAATATTATTTTACATTGAACTACAAAATCAAATCCTGAACATTAATAGCAATAAAATATCTTACAATATTTAGAATTATTCCCAGAATTCTTTGCACTTTGAGAGACATGTCCATTATGTGTAAAATATTTTTTTATATTTCATTATGCAAGTATTGCTTTTTGTGGTTAAAGCAACAGTTACCATACAGTAATCTTTCAAGCAAAGCAGTTGTGTTGTGCCCGTCTGAAATCATGCGTTCTTTATATTGGTGAAATTCACTCAAAGTCTTTCACTTAGGCTTAAACCTGCGCTTAAATCTCTGAGCTGAAAGAGAGGCGTAAAAGAGAAATCACAGCACGCCCTGTGTCCATTAACTAAATGTCAATGATCCTTTTAGCTTAAACATATTTGTATCATCTTTTTGTGCCGGTAATGTGAAATCAAACAAAAACCTGAAGACCCTGCCTAACACTACATCAACATGATTTCACAAAATTTTTTCAGTTTCTCTTTATTCCTCCTCCATCCCATTCCTGCTACGATGGCACCATCTACCTCTGACATCATCAATAACGTTTGGTTTTCGTCTCCAGCATATCCACGTTCATCCTCTCTCGGTCGTTGTCCAGAGGGTGGTTCTGCGTGTGTTCCCACCGACGTATGGCACCATCCCACTGAGCGAACGTGACAAGAGAAGGAAAAAGAGACAATGAGTTCAAAGAAGTGTCATGGTCATTGGGCCCTATCATACACTCGGCGCAATGCGGCGCCAGGCGCGACGCAAGCGTTTTTTATGTTAGTTTCAGCCCGGCGCAGTTTATCATTTTCACGTCTTGTGGCACGTTGTTTAAATAGCAAATGCATTTGTGCCCATTTGTGCACCTATGGGTGTGCTGGTCTGAAAAGGCGCAGTGTTGACGCGCTGCTATTTTCAGGCAACTGAAAACCTGAAACCTGGAACCAACTGAAACCTGGTCTAAAGTCAATGGCGCAATATTTTTTTTGTCATTTAAAGAGCGCGTTAGTAATATGCGCCTATAGGCGGGTGAACAACGTGCGTACACTCTGCTTATTACCCACACGGACACGCAGCAGCACACAAACATGTCAAATATTAAAAATGAAAGGATTACAATTTAAAAGATTATTATTGTGCCCCGTAGATGGTTACTCTCTGGAGAAGCATTCAGTCTTTGCTCTTGCAAATTCCGCCATGTAGATAGTGAATCCACCAGGGCGCGAGCACAACTGGCTTTTAAAGGGAATGGTAGATGAGACTCTGATTGGTTTATTGCACGTTATGCCCAAAACACACCCATTACTCATTAAGAGAATAGGGACAACCCTTTTAGACCATGCGCCGGGTGCGCTGACCATTTTTCCCGTCGTTAAACTAGCAAAAGTGGATTCGGACACACCCTAAGTGCACTTGCGCCATGTGCTTTAGACCATGTGCTTAGATAATTAAAATAGGGCCCTTAGTGTTAAAGTTATGTTTTTTAATTTCTAGTTCTTAGTCCTGGGTCAAATGTCCTTTTTAGTTTTCATCATATTAGTCAACCTACACTGTTTTAGTTGGCTAAAAGGCTGGAAATTTTAGTCTAGTTTTAGTCAATGAAATCTTATGAAACTTATATTTCAGTAATGCTGCATAATGATTAAACCAATAATCACAATCATTTTGCTAAAAATTATAATCATGATTTTATAATGTAGAGAGTATGTAAATGAACATACTCTACATTATGAAAACTAGTAAACTCAAAAGCCTCTCAGCCTAGAGCAATGAGCGCGCCTGGCAACCGAATGTTGCCGCAGGTGCAGTTCACAGAGCAGTATATATACCACCGGAGCACTTACTTTCAGTCAGTAGAGCTTTCGCTGTCAGAATAGGAAAAGCTGCCGATTTATCGAAGTTTGATAAAGAAACAGTTTTACCGTTTACTGCACGTTGTTATTCTTCTCGTTATTTACCTATAGCAGCTAATGAACCGGAAGTCTCGCCAATAGGCTTACTTCCGCGTTGAAGAAAACGGTGGATAGGCGGGTGAACAACGTGCGTACACTCTGCTTATTACCCACACGGACACGCAGCAGCACACAAACATGTCAAATATTAAAAATGAAAGGATTACAATTTAAAAGATTATTATTGTGCCCCGTAGATGGTTACTCTCTGGAGAAGCATTCAGTCTTTGCTCTTGCAAATTCCGCCATGTAGATAGTGAATCCACCAGGGCGCGAGCACAACTGGCTTTTAAAGGGAATGGTAGATGAGACTCTGATTGGTTTATTGCACGTTATGCCCAAAACACACCCATTACTCATTAAGAGAATAGGGACAACCCTTTTAGACCATGCGCCGGGTGCGCTGACCATTTTTCCCGTCGTTAAACTAGCAAAAGTGGATTCGGACA